AAAAAAAGAAGGAGGGATTATCTAAACAGTAAGCGACTCAGGATTCAACCCCCGTGTTGACATCGAAGTTCATGCACCAAACTACAGTGTGATAATGCCCACTATCTGAAACTCAGCCTGAGGCCCACCTTCCACCTTCCCAGATTATGGGAGCTGCTTCGATTTTCTGCTGGGGTCTTTTCTTCGTGTAATCTTCTCTTGAAGAAGGAGAAATGCACACAACTTATCTCAAACATTGGGAGATGAATGCACACAGAAACGAGGGCAATATAGGTAGTGCCCATGGAAGCTAAGAAAGAGTAAACAACTGGACCTCATCGTGTCCTGCTCATTTTCAGTAGATCTTAATAGACACCTCTTCTAACCGTGACCATAATGAGTGTACTCTCCCTTCTCTGATTTTCTGACCCTTTACACTTAGGCTATTGCTACCAACTGCCAATGGTTGGTAGACGCAGAGAGATAAATTGATAGATAGTGCTAGTTCCAGCTCCTCACGAGGAAACCTGATTGATCGCCAATTACCATTATGTCTGCATGCGTGGCAGATTGACTTGGTTCAGCGTACTCTCCTAGCCTGATGTCCGCAGCCATAGGGGCAGGTGATTATGATACATCTACAGCTGTCTGCTAGATACAACCAGCTCGTCTCCTTCCTCAGCTGGGCTGTTGGGTCTGGGAAGGAGCTGTGGAAGTAGCAGGCACCACAATGGGACTGTCCTGGCTATTCCTTCAGCCACATTTGTCATTCCAAACCTCCTGGTAACCATCTCCTGCATTCGCTGCCTATACTAGGTCATAAGCACATTTAGGTCAAAGGTGGCTCTGTCTTGCCTTCACTCTGATTGTGCCCTCTTCACCTCTTCCCATCCATATCTCAGCACTAAGGGTACAGTGCAGAGGCCTTGCTGACATCTAATAAGCATGGGCTAATGAATCAGAAAAACCCACGACCACCTGCTCCCTGGGTCTTAAGGGAAAATACAGAGCTTGAGCTGAATACATGGTCATTCCCTTTCCTATTAATTTCTCGAGTTTGTCTGTGGATTGTGCTGTCTGCTCCACTGGGGTGACACAAACATGACAGATGGCACTCTCATGGGCAAGGAGTTTATTCTGCAACACAATAAGGGCTATATTTTTTGCTGTAAAACTCTTATAAATCATTCTTGTACATTTTGGGCAGAAATATTGTGACACAAGCAAGATAAATGCTGTTCCATACATGTAAACAGCTGAAATTTGTAGACCATAAGAGTATAGAGTGATATGTATCAGTGAACCATAAATGCATACTTCATTTTGAGATTGTGATGTAAATATACAGCATGAATGAACAAAGTTTTTCTGGCTTTCTATAAAATAAAAATTTTTATCTGATGGAGGAATAAATTTTAATAACCAGCAAATGGAAGAATTTTAAAACTTTGTGTGACAAAATCATTTTAATAATTTGAAATTTAAACTGCTATGTAATCTAAGGAAGATGATTATAGTTATAAAAGGACTAAACAAGTATTTATGGATTTATCAATAAACAGATATGTTAAAAGAAAGCTATTAAGATGAACAAAGAGATAACCAGGGTGAAAATATTAGCATTAGAATGGCTTCCAACCTAGGTTACAAAGAAAAAAAGTGAATATAGGTACAGAAAAGATCAAGAATGTGAACTCCTTACAACACAGGAAATGCAATGTCAGTCTTCAGCAAACTAGTCACGTGGAAATCTCCTATCTTTGTATAGTAGAGGAAGAATTATAGCCTCTTTTATTTTTTAATTTGTTTACTTTTTATTGAAAATTATACATATTCATCAAAGAACATATAGATATGTCAAAAGAAGGGTAAAAGAGCATCCAAATTCATCTATAGTCTAGAAATATACTTAGATATAATCATAAACTTTTTAAAAATTGAATGGCATACCATGAAGATCATTCAATGAAATCATAAACTCTTCTATAATATTTTAAATGTCACTAGCAAAATCAAAGATAATTTCAAGCTGAAGTAAACTCTGGGTCATTTAGTTTGACCTTTATACCAATGTTTTAATAATCTTTTTAGTTAGATGATTGTGAGCTCTTTTCTTGACTGTTTCAGTGACTTACATCAAAATCTCCACATCATCAATTTGCCAGGAAATTCTTTCAAAGGCTGAAAGGTTTAATTGCCAGAAGTCCCGCTTCCAATTCTAAAAATAGTTCCTCTATCCTGATTTTTGTCCACCTCTTCTATCTTCTCCCCGGAATAGTATTGGGCTTAGAATCCATTTCATGTTCTTCCCATCCTTTATTACCACAACCATGACTAAATCAGGTGACTTTACTAAACAAACTTTCTTCATCTGTAAAATTAGCCTAATGACATTTACCCTATATTCCTCATAAGGTTGTTGAAAAAGTCAAGTAAGAAAACATTTATGAAAATGACAATACATCCTGAAGCATGATATGGATGGTAAGCATATTTCCTCTTTCACATGTAATATTTGAAAATGTGCTATCATCTTCACCCAAGTCCCTTCTCCAAGACAAGAAGCCAGCATCTTTTACACATTGTAATATCCAGAATTACTGTCTTAGCAACTCCTCTGGCTATGTGCCAATTTGTGAATGTCTCCTATGAAAAATGCCACACCGAACTAAGCAAGATGGTCCTGATGTGACTAAATGAGTGGAAAATAAAATGGGATTGTTCTGCCGTGGCTCTGCATGGCAGTCTGCTGCTGTGCATGCTGAAACACAAGAGTTTTTATGGTCACCAAGGTCTATGTTGTTTATGAAAGGCACACTGAACTGCAGCATTTGAGAAATGTCTTTGAAAAAAATATTTTTAAAGGTAGCAAAATAATCAAAAGAATAAATGTAGAAGAAGAAATGGCGATGATTTATTTTTCCCTAACCATACAACTGATTGGCTAAAAGAGATGTCCCTTAAATCATCCAGTTTTGCTCTTCATTAACTGAAGGAAAGAGGGCTTGAATTATTACCTAAAATGAAGTTGAAGATATAACCGGGACTTTACATTATCCATGATTTGACTTACACTGTCTTCCCGGTGATAGGAAGGGCTATAATGAGCAGAAATTATAATGACCTGCTTCTTTTCAATCCGTCACTGTTTTCCTTTTTTCTAGAAAGACAATTCTGAGGCAAATTATTGGTAACTTATCTGAAAATACCATGACCTGTTCTTAAATAATGTGTAAAATGATTATTTACCAAGTTGGACAGATGATTTCATGAATTGTCAGCTCTTCTGTGCAAAGGCAGGCAGGAATCAGAATGTGCTGTGTTAACCCTTCACTTTCCTTGAGTTGCATAGTTTGTTTGAAACAAGTAGGACAGCCATCCAGCCTGCCAGCTCTTGTTGCCCCTACCTTCAGCAAGTCATTTTATCATTCTCTGACTCTGTTTCTCCATGTAGAAAATCTGGAGAGTCTTACAGGTAACTCCTTTCTTTGTAAGACAAAAGAAATACACCCTACATGTTCAAAGATTTATGATAGTATTATTATTTTTTTTAATTGCCTACCTAAAAAAAGGGAATGGACGGGAGTTGTTAAAGTAAATGAGGATTTGCCATTTGAGGCTGGACTGTAGTTAGCAGGAAACAACAGCCAAATGTGGTTTTGTTTTGTATTTCCTTTGTCGATTTCAGCTGATTTCAGGTTGGCCCATTCTGAAAATAAGGCTGCATTTGAGAATTCCTGGAATGTGCCCAAGTAAGAAAAGAAAGCAGGTAGTCTCTTTGGCTACAATAAATTTCAAGAACTAATTATTCTTTCCTGTGATTTTGCAACACAATGTACTACAAGTTGGGTTGGAACCAGAATTTCAAATACCAAATAGTATACAACAGGGATAACGCTGGGGAAAAAAATTTCAAGTCAAAAATCAAAACAGAGCTCAGTGATTTCAGAAGCAATGGCTTCTTGTCAAGAATAACTGTCATTAAAATTTCCATAAGCACCAGTGAAATTGATTTTGGGGAAAAAGCTATGGGAGGGTCTGTTTTATAAAATACAGTGAAATTTCATTTTATTCTGAATTTCCCCAGCCAAGTTTGTAAGATCTCAGATTTTTCTTGGGCCCTTTCCCCAGGGAGAGGCCAAAGGTTTATCTCCCTTGACATATACAGATTAAAAATTTTCACCCAGGAAGGTTCAGCAGCGAGTTGGCTAGTGAGTCACACGAAGAATCTCAGTCCTGAGATGATTAGTGGATTGAAGAGCAGAAAATAATAAAAAGTAGAAGCATGCAGTCATCACAGGCTTCTGATGCAACACACTGAGCCCACCGAGCACGAGAGAATTGGTCTGGCGTCGTTGTTTTATGCTCTCTGGATACTGAAAAGTCTGATTTGCGTTAGATACCTCTGCATTCAATAAACAAAAATAAGGATAAATATGACCAAAGCACTATTTGGAACCGAAAACAAACTCAAGCAATGAGTGTTTTGTACTGAATTCATTCAAGATTTTATTAGTTAGGCTCTCACTTAGGTTATTAGGCTCAGCTTGCTTTTAATTTCACTGGTCTCAGTGATTCAAAACAAAAGGAGCCTGGGGTGTGTGCGCGTGTGTATGTGGTGTGTGTGTGAACGTCGGACATATCACACACAGGCTTTCTACATTCTTCACATTGCAAACCCATCAACAAAAGGAGGAAGAAGATCTGAAGGGAATGAGTGGTTTTTGCGGGTTTAGGGGATGGAGAATTTCTCTACATAAACAAGAAGGTTTGGATTGGAAGTCTGCTAAAAAAAATGTTAAGAGCTGACCACAAGGTTGTAAATCCACAGACTGGAAGGAGGAAAAGAGAAACATTGCGAGCGACTGAAGTGTGTGTGGCTGCAATGTTTGCGGGTTAGATGAGAAACAAGCGCTGAGTGAAACAGAGAAGGCGGGGTGGCTGGTGTGATTTGTTTGGTGTTCGGAGCCAATAGAAATCCCAGACGGTGATAATATCCCCATGCAGCGCCGAGAGGAGTCAGAGCTAAGACTCAGGGCTCCGTGCACATCTGCAGGCAGCCAGCCGGGCACCGCGCGGCGGGGCGCGCTCTCGCCGGCCCTGCGCTCTCGCTCTCGGATGGGCGTCTGCTGGCGGCCGGCTGCGGTCGAGCTGGAAGCGGCAGCCGCGGGAGATCAAACTTAGACCGTGCTGTGGACTATAGACTCGGAGCGAAGCGAGGGAGAGGGAGAGAAAGCGACAAGGGGCCCGAGGAGGAGGAGGCTTCCATCACGTCATTGCAGGTACGCAGCTTGTCACGACTCATCTGGCACAGACACGGCTTCTGATTTCCACCTCCACGGGCACTTCTAATGCATTGACATTGTTTGTGCCGCGGTTGGTCCGGATAGAAAGCACTGGGTGAATGTCTTGCCTGATTCGCCTCTGATAATTAAAGCTGTTTTAGCCTGTGTTTGGGGGCCACAAGGTTTATTCACCTATTGAATTATGCGTGGGCGTAAAACGAGGACCTTCAAACTTGACCGTGATCTCTCTCTCTCTCTCTTTCTCTCTCAACATCAATACCTGCATGTTGTCATGCAACCTATAAATACCTCTTGGTAATCTCCATTATAATTATGACCTATGGCAAGTTCGTATCATGTAATTGTTAGAAAGCAGTCTCTGTACATTTCCCACCTGCCTATTAGGTTAATATCCTCCTTAGAGGAATAGGAACCGCAGTGGACTTGGGCATGGTTTTGATTTTTAAAGCATATGGTCAAGGTGGATTACCCTCATGAGTGAAATATCACTGTATCGCTATGCTATGGTTGAAGGAGAAAAGAGAGAAGGGAGATAGATATTTTAAAATGTGATTGCCGATGATCCTTCCTGTGTACCTGATTTATTTCTACGTCGTCTTAAGAGTTTTAAAATGCATTTGTATTGTGCGCTCCAGGCAGGATGAGTTCCAGGATCTCACGTATTACTACATTAAAAAGTCATGAATTGGAAATATATAGTAAATATGATACTCGGAAGTAAATAGCAAGTTTTGGTTTGATTTTATTTGACCTTACGATGAGTAGATTTCTGCCTATCTTTCTTTTCCTTTCTTTATTCCTTTGAGGTGCAGGTTTTGTTTAAAAAAATCTATTTCCCTGGGATTTTTATCATGTTTGAGTTGGAATTTTGAAGATGGTTATATAACTTTAACCCACTGTGGATCACCTGTGATTACATTAACGTTGCTTAATTGAGTTCAGTGTTTCTCCAGAAAAGCCAGAGGGGACTGCATGAAGGGGTAGTTAAAAGATTGGTCTTGACTTGGGCAATCCTCAAGTACTGGTGTTCAAGCGCTCTGAGCTCCTATAAAAAGCACCTTTTCTGCAGTGGAGAACATGCACACATCGGGACAGCGGTTCAGCAGGAGAACGGCGCTGCGGCAGGTGCAGGAACAATCAAACGTTACCTTAAGTCTAAACAGCACTCTTCTCAGTGGATTCTTAGTAGATTATATCCAAACCATCCACTGACAATTCCCAATCAACTCACCATTCAGTACTGCCTGATTTTCAGGGTAGTCCTTGTCCCGAGCCATGTGTCTGACCAAGGAAGATAAGGAAGTTATAAGAAAGATATTTATTGTGTATATCACAATGGAGAATTTATATTGACCTGTTTTTTGTTTCATCAGATGAACATGTTCTTTCTGTCATTAAGGGAAATGCATACTTAGCTCTACCATGGAGTCACGAAAACTACGTATTTTTGCCCATTGATCTGAATGATTTAACAGGGTATTTCTGAAATTATGTCAGAGAGTAGACATGTCAAGTGAATATTATATTTAGAAGAGAGCATTTTGATTTTATAGATGAATATTTTTCTCCTTTCACATTACAAAGGAAACGGATCATAAAGAATTTACCTATTCAAATAAATACAAATTAATTGATCCAATTAAATTCTATTAGTAGTTGAAAGTGTGGTTTTGCATGATTATGAGCATTTGTCAATCTTCTGTAAATATAATACCTGCAATAAATTGGGACCCATTTCCCTCTTACCATTCAAACTCTAAAGCAATGTTGGACGGATGTGTTGGTAGCAAGTGAGTGAGTATACAAGACTAAATTTATTCATTTTGTATAGACTGGGAGACACTGGTGGCTTGTCAAATATAAATATAAATAATGCTTTGATTATTCATTGTTTTATGCTGTTATTCTTCATTGAGAGGTAATCAGATGTTCACTCTCTACACATCTTAGTAGAGCCAGCCAGAGCTTTGGATACCCTCAAGTTATAAGTTTGGTAAAGTTTAAACAAGAGACATGCCTTTAAATCTCTTTAAGTAAACACCTCTTCCTTAGCCCTCTTCTTCTGTTGCAAAGGAATGGTATTAGACTCTGAGTTCTTATTGATAGGGAGAGGATTGGCTTGCCTGGGTCAAGGACAAACACACCGCCCAGGCACAAGCACACAACAGAGTAGGCCAGGCACATTTTTATTCTAGAGTTGCTACAGTAATTGCACCACATCGTAGGCGTGTTCTCGGTATCAGGGTCCTTTAAGTATTTAGGAGAAAAATAATGAATTATTTCAACCAGGGAAAACACGCCCAGCATTGGGTTTAAGACAAGTCACACGGGGGACTAACAAAAAAAACAAATTGTTTTGAAGGGGAAGATGTGCAATTATAAATGAGACCTATGTTGCCATCTACTTCTTTGATTTGCTGCTTCTCTTCCTGCCACATAGTCCTTTTGTTTCTGTAAATTATACATGCTGGCCTAATAATGTGTAGAATTCATTTCGATCACACGTAAGACTGAAATATGGTCCTCAGACTCAACATTGACCAATGACTTCAGAAGATTTCACATTGCCGTCACTTCTAGCTGGGAGCATGTCTTTGAATGGAGAGCACATGGACAGGACCCAGCCCGTGGTGGAGCACTGATTTGCAGAGCAGAGTCCTAGTGCCACATGGAAGTTCAGAGGATGGAGAGCAAGAGGGTAGAAGCAACAAGGGTATGAAAGGAGATGGTATAAAGATTGACGCCCTTAAATATAAATCCAGGAGCCAAAGGATTGAATTTATGTCCTCAAATTAACTTCAAGTGTAAACTTCTGATGAGACGTCCTGAATATTTTTAAACAAACGCTCATGTGTTCATAGGCACATCACACACAGGTGTGGTATTAAAATACATAGATTTGATGTACTGTAACACTCCTGTGCACACAGGCCAGGAGAGGGCAGCATGCAAACTCTCATAAAGTGATGCCTTCTCTTGACCATAAGAAAGACTTTTCCAAATGGCTAAAAAAATAAATAAATAAATAAGAGTTCCTTCAACTTTATGTACCCTCGTCTCTCCAGAAAGCAGAGTCTAGAGTTTTAATTAAAGATACCCCATCCAAGGCAGGGCGCGGTGGCTCACGCCTGTAATCCTAGCTCTCTGGGAGGCTGAGGCAGGCGGATTGTTTGAGCTCAGGAGTTCGAAACCAGCCTGAGCAAGAGCGAGACCCCGTCTCTACTAAAAATAGAAAGAAATTAATTGGACAACTAAAAATACATAGAAAAAAAAATTAGCCGGGCATGGTGGCGCATGCCTGTAGTCCCAGCTACTCGGGAGGCTGAGGCAGAAGGATTGCTTGAGCCCAGGAGTCTGAGGTTGCTGTGAGCTAGGATGATGCCAAGCCACTCTAGCGGGCAACACAGAGAGACTCTGTCTCAAAAAAAAAAAAAAAAAAAAGAGACGAATGGATAAAGAAAATGTGGCATATATATGCAGTGAAATGCTACTTAGCCATAAAGATACCCCATCCAGAAGGATTTATTTCTGTTTTTGCTTCCAGAGTTGATGCTGCCTGGCAAAATTGGAAAAGTAGCAGCATATTAAACAGTGAACTCAATTTTCCTTTCTTTTAATTAGCTTCACTCTTTGAACCTATTCAAGCAGTCTATATGTTTACTCTGTTGGGATATAGGTGAGAGAAAGGGAAACAGAATACAAGGAAAAGAGGCAAAGAGAGAATGAGGTTCCTTGAGCTGGTTGTCCAGGGAAAATATTTATGAGCTGCTTTATCAGTAGATCCAGCCTGTATTTTAAGTATGTCTCAAAGGCAAGTTCTGGGCCATGAGGATCCATTTTGTACACTGATAATCAATAGCACCTTCAGAATTCTAGCAAATTTGGTTTCAAAACAGAAGAGCGGAAATAGCTTCACTTAGTGATATCCAGAGTCTAAGATGTGCTAAAAAAATAAGAATTAGGCATCTACCTCTTAGAAGCTCAGAGGTGGTTAACCCTAGCCCATCCTAAACCTAGTCCAGTCTTCTTAATACTCGTGGCTAATAGGCTGTGATTACTCCTAAGAGAGGAAAAGGTGAAAGGATGTTGGGCTGGGGATGGATGCGTTGAGGTGAGGGACACCAAGACGTTTGTGTCAAGAAAGAATGATTCAGGGGATGGTGGATTTTAAGAAGCTCAGGAGGCTGCCCACCACGGGCTCAGCAGCTTGTGTGCATGAATGAGGCCTTGAAAGCTCTGATCTCGACTTCTCTCTGGTGCCACTGCACTCGGCTGGGAGGTGTCCTCTCCTTGAATCAAAGCAAAGCGTTTTTTCAAGGACAAAGTTAAGATTCCTTGGTGTCTGGGAAGAAAAGAAAAAGGGAGGTCACTGTGTGTCTCCCCCGTATTCAGCCAGATTAACTTCTAGTGCACTCCCAACTACTCCGTGCTCCCATGCTGGGAAAGCTTGGATGAATGTGAGAGATTCATCCAGGGTCACCATGGAACCAAACACAATGCCATAGTAGTAGGGTATTAACAAATGAGAGAAAGAGGTCCTGAAGTCTAAGACCAAGAGTCTCCACTGCTATTTTGTAGCGTTTTTTTTTATTGTTGTTTGTTTTTTGTTTTTGATTTTTTTTAGAGACAGGGACTCATTCTGTCACCCAGGCTAGAGTGCAGTGGCATCATCATCATAACTCATTGTAGCCTCGAACTCCTGGGCTCAAGTGATCCTCTTGCCTCAGCCTCCCTAGGAGCTAGGACTGCAGGCACACACCACCACGCCTGGCTAAGGTTTTAGTATTTTTGTAGAGCTAGGGTCTCACAACGTTGCCCAGGCTGGTCTCGAACTCCTGGCCTCAAACAATCCTCCCCCCTCGGTCTTCCAAAATGCTGGGATTACAGGTGTGAGCCACCATGCCTGGCCTATTTTGCAGTTTTTAATGTAACACTTCCTAGCTCTTTTCAGATAGAGAAACTCCAGGCTCCGTCTT